TAAATACACATAATAAAACATGAGAAAAGTGTCCATCCTTGCCAGTGATCAGGACAAATAAATAAAGGCAAATTGTACCATTTTTATACTTATTTAATAATTAAAATTATAAATGAGAATATCCAATGTTGGTAAGGTTGTGACAAAATTGGTGTGATCGTACAGTACTAGCAGCATAATAAATTTGTATGATCTCTTACAGAGGCAAAATGACAACACAAAGAAAGCACAGAGAAGACATTTCTATCTTTTGGCCTAGTAATCTCTCTCCTGGGAAATTCCCAAAGAAATAATTCAACAAAAGTAAAAAAAAAAAAAAAAAAAAAAAAACAGCAAGGATAGATACTTTTACCTATAATAGGAAAATATTGAAATAATGAAAAATGTTTTAGTTAATTGTAGTGTGACTGTGACTGTTAAAATGAAAATATAAAAAATACTTACAAATGTGAAGAAATATTTATTAAGTGGAAGTGAAAAATATAATACAACTAGGTAAAATGTGTAAATATATGGATAAGGAATGGTAATGTGAAAATATCTTTGGTGTTATGGTGATGAATTATAGGTGAATTGTATTTCAAGATGTTTTTTTAATGTTTATATCAGATCTTAAATACAGCAATACAAAGAAAGAAAAGAAGTCAGCTAGTAGAATTCTATCAAGATTCTGCTTCTGTTTGGGTGGGGCAGGGAGTTGGGAGTTATCCTCGCTGAGATGTTGATGGGTGATAAATTAACGTGTGACACATCTTCATGCAGAGAGACTGTAGTAGACTCTAGCAGATAAAAGCCTCAGAATTTGAGTCAAGCCAGCAGACACTGAATTGGATCTCTGTTTCTGCCACTTACTTGCAATATGGCCTTTGGAAGCTATCTGACATATCCAAACCTTTCCTGACTTGTAAAATGGAAGTGGCAATGGAACCAATTTCATGGAATCATTGAAAGTAATCAATGAGATAATGTAGATAGTGTAGTGAAAAATTGAAAAATTATTCAATAAAGGTTTGTTTGTGCTGTTAACAATAATGATGGTGGTGGTAGTTGTGGTGATAAACAGGTCTTCTGGAGAAAATGTCTTAATTTAAATGTCTAATGTCAGAAGTGGATGCTGCTTAAATGACACTATCCCTATATGTAGAGCTAACTACAAACCAGGTATTTTAAAAGTAGACTTTACCTTTTAGAGAAGTTTTAGGTTCAAAACAAAATTGAGTGGAAGGTACAGAAATTTTCTATATACTCCTTGCTCCTATATAGCACAGCCTACTCCACTCTCAAACTTCCGCACCAGAGTGGTACATTTCCTACCATCGATAGACCTACATGGCATATCATTATCATCCAAAGTCCTTAGTTTATATCAGGATTCACTCTTGATGTTGCACATTCTATGGGTGTTGACAAAAGTTCAACATGTATCCATCATTAAAGTGTCATACAAGTTGTTTCACTACTCTAAAAGTCCTCCATGTTCCATTTATTCAACTCTCCCTCCCCTGGACCCTTAACAATGGCTGATCCTTTCACTATCTCCATAGTTTTTCCTTTTCCAGAATGTCATATAGTTAGAATCATATAGTATGTAGCCTTTTCAGATTGGTTTCTTCCTTGAAAGGTATTTTTTTTACAACCAGTCTAGAAGCCCAAGTGAATATTTCAAAATTCTATTAGGTAATACAAAGATGATTGCTACTAGTGATTGTGTTAGATTCTTTATACACGTTATCTTCATTATTTTTGTTCTACAAAAAAGGAAGTGCTCAAGTTCATAAAGCCAGTAAATGGCAGAGCTGGTATCTGAATCCAGTTTGCCTGACTCCAATGTTCACATCTTTCCATCATGCCACAGCGTTTACCCTAATACCAAACATGGGTCCTGAACCCAGTCACAGGAGCTGACAGAAAATGCACACTGGTAAAAGTACATGTCCAACCACATGCCACTGCAACTCTTAGAAGACAGCATCCTGATCATACAACACAACAGCCAGCTTGTATACTTGCACCCCGATTCTTAGGCAGAAGAGCTTAGTCAGCATACTTTGTCAGAATACTACTAGCAAAATTAGATGGGTCGAGTTAAGTCCTTCTTTACCTTTTTGCATTATTCCCCAAACCAAGAGCCTCTTTAGACATTTTCTTTTTAATCATCCCCCACTCCAATTCAACTTTAATACCACATATATATTTTATATTTTCTTATGTACTGTGGCCCTTTGGAGGGCCAAACACAATTGTAAAACCTAAGGTTTTTTGCCCTTGAAGAAACAATTTACACTCCCTTAAGGTGCAAAGGATGGCTGGGTGTTGAGATGCCAAAAAGGTGAGGTGAGGACCTTGGAGAGCACCAAAGTAGCCCTACTGTGACCATATCCAAGGCTGGGTATTGTCTCAAGATTTGCCTGAAAGGAGGAAGAGGCCTGGAAAGCATGGGGGCTAGGAAACTAGGATTGGTATGTACTCTTTTACTGAATATGCCAGGAACCATCAGAATATGGAAGCCTTCCATTTCTTTTTCATAAGAAAATTCTTGAGGGGGCTGGCACTTTGTGGACAGGGAATTCTTAAAGTCAAAGGCAGTTAATGGTACACCTTCAAGTAGTTTAATGGTTTCAAGGTATTTTACTAAGAGCCCAACTCCTTAGGAATTGGAGGTTTTCAGAAGTTTAAAAGTATCAGGTTAATTCTCTATCACCCTACATTACTCGCTGGGTTCATGACATCACAGTGTAGTTTCATAGTGTCAGTTGTGAGTTGAAAAAAATAGGAGGTATTATTTATCGTGTGCTAGGCACTGCACTAAGCATATTAGTGAGCCATTTTATTTAACCTTTATAACAATCTTGGGTGGGTATGATCATTATCCAAGACTAAGGGAGGTTAGCAAACTTGTCCCAGATCACACAGCTGATAATTTGAAGTGCTGGACCTTGAACCCATTTGGGCTTCAGATAGTAACATGGAAGTAGATGACTCAAGAGAAGAAAGTTCTAAAAAGGAGAAGGTAAGCCCCCTGAGAGGCCCAAGAATCAGCCACCTCGATCCCTCAGTCCAAAACCTGGCATAGAGGATGAGGCTCCATAGAGGGTGAAAATAGAGCTGCCTAGCAGTAGAATGGGGTCCCCATGAAATGGCAAATCCTCATGGATATTCTCCAGAATAGGGCTGGTTTGACACTTGATAGAGCACTATAGGAGGAATCATAGAGAAGGGACTTCTGCATCCTTAAACTTGATGACTTCAAAAGTTCAAGGATTCTGTAATTATTGGACTAAGTCTATGACTCAGACTTTGGGAAGTCATAGACCACCTAGCATTCAACAGTGCATTGAGATCTCAAAAAGTGGAGACCTTGGATAGATGAGATTTATGGGCTTCCAGAACCCACACTTCTACCCCTTCCAGCCCCTTCCAGAGGAGTCAGAAGTGATTTACCGTAACTCCGGGGAGTTAGAAACCTCCCAATCTTGCTCCAGAGGCTTCTCTGGAAATATAGACATTCAAATCATTTACTATAGAAAAAGGCTCTGCCTGTGGGTTTCAGCTGCTGTCATGGGATCTAAAAAATAAGAGGAACACTCTTTCCTAGCAGATGGTGAAAACAAAAAATCAGTATGTCAACAAATGAACTTTTGACAGTCATTTGCTGACAGGAATCAAATGGGCCCCACAAAATGCGCACTGGGTTGACTGTTGTTCCCTACATGCACTGTTTCTTTTCAGTCCTTGCTGATGGCTCACGGTAAACACTCAGAATTGTCCCCTCTGTCCCCATGGAGTGAGTCCCAACAGAGCACAGCTAGATGCAAGTGCTTTCTGCTCAACTCCCTAGAGTGCTCACACAGATGCGGATGGCTCACAAAGATAACAACATTTTCCGTCAACACTGATGTTATCCGACCTTCAGATTCCACTTTCAAAAGAGTCATGCATCCTAAAAAAGAAAACACAGAGCCCTCTGCGGGGCATAAGGCTACCTAGAAATGGAGGTACCTTAGTTGTATGATCTAAGCTGCAGCTTTAATCAACACACACATACACACACAGTTGTATGAAACTAGCCAAACCTCACTTGTTGTACAAGTTTTTAAAGAAGTAATTACCTGAGTACAAAGCACCCTTATCTATAGGCTTTACAGAATCTGTTAGGTCCAACTTTATTATTATCTACAGTACTTTGCTTCTATCCTTTCATGCTTCACCATTTTATCTTTTCACTTGCTTCTCTCAACTTGGAGAGCAAATCTTCCCAGTTTGTGTCTATAGCTAGAGCTTCACATCTTCCCTCATGCCTGTGGCATGGTGGTCTCTCATATGGAAGAACGTAAACTGCATTGACCATCACCATACCATTTGCATCTCCAACCCTTTTTCTTTTTTTTCTTCAGGGATCTGAGCTCTAAGACTTGCTGAATCTTTTTCTTCCTGTCTCTAAAAAACATGGAACAGACATATAGTAACTATGTATAACACCAAAGTATTTTTTCCAAACAGAAAGGAGTGGTCTTCCACTCTTTTTAAAAGGGTAAAAACTTCCACCTGCCAATAGAAAGTGGCTGCTGAGTAGGTGTCAGGAACTTGAATTTAAAAACTGGGTTCCTGCCCTGGCCGGTTTGGCTCAGCGGTTGGAGCATCAGCCTGCGGACCAGAGAATCCCGGGTTTGGTTCCCGCTAGGGGCACGTACCAAAAACAAAAACAAAAAAACTGGGTTCCTCTTGTGACTCTGGACAAAACAACTCTATTAACAGCTTTCTTACAATCTGACTTTTTCTCCCAAACTCAGTGGCTAGTTCTTTTTAAACATAATATCTTAAGCTGAAAAAGTAATATATAGATTTTTAATATTGATATCAAGATCCCAGGACTCAGCCTGCTCACACAGATGGTTGCTGTCCCCACAAGTGTTGCCCACAGAAGTATGTGCACAGATGTTATACACATAGATGCTTCTCACAGACAGATGTTACTGTGCACAGAGACAGATGTTACTCACCGAGACAGATGTCCACCAGGAACACGATGTACACCAAAAGCTCCCGCAGGGTGGTCTTGATATAAAGTTCCCGGTTCTCAGCTGTGTTCTCAGTCAGGGCTGTTCCCCAAAGTCCTAAGGGGCATTGGAGAGATACCCAGGATCCCCAACAGCAGGGGCCCTCCCGTTGTCCCCACCCATCAGTCCCTGTATTTTGCTCCTACTTCCACCCCTTTCCTTGCCCATCACCTTATCCCTTGGCTGAATCTAGCTCCTCACCGTGTCTGCCCTCTTCCGTCAAAGCCCCTGAATGAAGGCATGGAAAGGAGGTGCTCGTTCCAGGTGGGGTGGTCTAGAGCAACAGCACATCCATGTCTTTCCTCTAACTAGTACCCACATACCCTTAGGGGCCCCCTGGGAAACATAGATGGCTTCTGTGTTCTGGGACATGCAGCTCTAGCCCAGACAATCCACAAACCTCAAGAGACACTAGATTCTCTCTCTTCTTCAGGTCACATTTTCCCCAAAAAGCTTTGGGTGACCCTTCTCCTGACTCCAGTATCCTAGGAGAACCCTCCCCCACCAGCTACCTCTGATGCCTCGGCAAATCTGGAGGCAACAGCTGGACACCAGGGTCCTGTGTGCCTTCTCCTGGAGTCTGTCTTCAGGCTTCGTGAGCTGGGGCTGGGGGGGCACCGCACTGGAGATGGTGCAGATCCTCAGCATCTCATGTGGGGAGGGCGGACCACTGTAGGCAGGGTTGTCCCAGGCTTCGCTCCCTGCATTTTCCAGCTCCTGCCCCTCCGAACTTTCCAGAGTATTCATGGGGAATGAGGTGGGGGACCTACACCTCAGGTATCCACTTTCACCTGAAAAAGAGGGAGAAAAGGCCCAGCCCAGCCAGGCCAGCAGAGGGCAAAGGGAGTTTGAGAGCAGCTGGTGGCACACAGACTCTGCCTCCTGCCTTTTGTAGGGGGAAAGCTGTGGCCACTTGGGGGAGGGAACAAAGGAGAAGGAGGGGTGTGGGGGATGACCATCAATCCTGTCAGGGGCTCTCTTTCTTTCCCTTCTGCTCCAGGGGACAAGAAGACAGGGATGGGAGGGATCTGTGAGGCAGGGATTTGAGGGGGGGGGGGTTGAGGAAGATATAAGATGGGATGGAAGGAAGGAGGGGTGAGAGAGGTGCACGCTGGGGGAGGGGACAAGGAGGACCACTTCTTGCAGATGGGGCCTGATGGAGGGATGGTCCTGAGTTGAGTGAGACAGAAGAGGTGATGACAGCGACGGGAGGAGCCGGGAGAAGAGGAGGCTGGCAGACCATCGCAGGCCTGAGCTCATTTCCACTAAAAGCTCCTGCAAGGACTGCTGACATAGATCGGGGTGGGGACCAAGGCCAGGGACCGGAGACTGGAAAATGCTGCCTCCCTACCAGGCTCAGCCATTGGTGTCTGGACTCTTTGTCTCACCTTGAGCTGCCCCCGGTGAGATGCAGGAGAGCTCCTCTCCCTCACTTCACCCATAGTTGGGGGGGAAAGAGAATGGCAGAAGGACCCCCTATTTCAGATACTTAAGGGACAGGGCCTCTGAGTGCTGATGAGGAAGGGAGAAAGTCTGCAGAGTTTCAAATTGTATTCTTTTTTTCTGAGGTCTTGATGTAAAGTTCTCATTTCTCAGCTGTGTTCAGGGCTTGGAGTGAGCTATACCAATAGAAGGGTGCTCCTTAAGGGTGTGGGGCTCAACCTAGGGAAAAGGCTAAGCCCTGGTTGGAAGTTTGCAACAGAGAGGACAGGGGGACTTGGGACTCCTTAAGGGGAGTGGATTTCTGGACCCAGCTCAGTTATCAACCTTATCTACTGCTCTGCTCAGTACTGGACCTGGAACTATAAACGTGAGTACAAAATGGAAATGAGAGACATCAGGACTGATCTGCTTTCTTTCTAATCACGGGTCTCTGAATTTAGACCCTGGCATGAGCCCTCAAGCACACCTCTGACTACGCCCATATCTGGCCGCTGATCTCCCTGCCTTGGCTCACATACAGGCAGGTGCTGTGGCCCAGGATGGGACTGGCCCCGCAAGTGTAGGCAGTGACCTCCTCCTTGATAGCTGGAGTTAGGGCTGCCCTTTCTCCAACTCCTGGCTCCCCATCTGGGCTACTCTATAGCTGTGCGGGTCCGAAGCTTGGTAGAAGTCACTAGTCTACAATGTTCCCATAAAGAGATCCTGACCCCAGACAACCCAGGGCTGGGCTCAGCTCCTTGATAAATAAGTGTACCCCAACAATGAGACAGGGCTGAAAAAGCAGCGGCTGTCCTACCACTGGGTCTGCTGTATGGATCTCCTGCTTCAGCCCAGACACCACTAAGGGAACCAACTCTCTCGCTCTGGGTTGGAGCTAAGGCCTCTCTGTGAGCCCTCCTAGATGGAGGAATTCCCTCTCTTCATTTTATTGGTTAGTGAGACGCATTCTAAGATGCTTATTTTCTTTGAGAAGACAAAAAATAATTGCTTGCAAACAATTGTAAAAGGACCCCTGGCTTGCAAAGCTGAACACTGGAACGGGGTGCTGAACACTGGAATGTGGGTGCTGAACACTGGAACAGGGTGCTGAACACTGGAACAGGGGTGCTGAACACTGGAACAGGGGTGCTGAACACTGGAACGGGGTGCTGAACACTGGAACAGGGGTGCTGAACACTGGAACAGGGTGCTGAACACTAGAACAGGGGTGCTGAACACTGGAACGGGGTACTGAACACTGGAACAGGGTGTTGAACAGGCTGAGAAAGCTAGCACCATAGTCCACAGGAATGGGGAAGGGGGCAGGGGACGGCTTCTGATTTCTTTTGAGTAATTTTGTATTCTGAGGGAGGTCTTTGATCAGTGGGGCTTTGGATGGACTCATCATATGACAGGTTCATCACGCTCAGCCTTAAGCACTCTCCCTGTGTATGGATCAACCCATAATGCCCCTGGGAACACAGGTTATGTAATATAGCTTGAGAACATTTCCCCTAAAATGTTCTTTGTCTCTAGCATGTTTAGTCTTCCTCAAGAAGTTGCCAATCTTATAATCAAGTAGGATCTCCTGATGATGCCGGGACCAGCAGTACTACATGTCTTCAGTCTTCTACTGGCACTTGACTTTTCTGTGTGGCCTTATTAAAAAGGGCAGCCAATTTCAGGGCAGTCCCGTGGCTCAGGATGCAAAACCCAAGAGGCTTGAGCTTGAAACCAGAACTGCTGGGTGTGACTCTTGGCTCATCACTTTACTAACCATATGGTTCCGGCCAAGTCCCTTTTGAAACTTAGTTTACCTCTCTGCAAAGTGTTGATAATTAAGCCTGCCCTACTGACCTTAAGAACTGTTTTAGGATTAAAACAGTAGAATATGGAAGTCTTTATAAACAGTGTACTATAAAGCAGAAAACAAATTTATCTTACCATAGCCTCCATCCTTGTGCATTTCATTCACGCACAGCAGTTCAGGTTTAATGTACTTTCACCCGGACCCTGCTGTCCTCTTCTCAGAGGCACAAGAATCCCAGAATTCTCTGCGTCCACTCAGCTGACACCAATGAAATGGAGTAAGGGTATTTCAGCTGGAGAGTATTATAAAAGTCCTGGAATAAAAGCACCTCCGAGAAGAGTTTTATAATAAGCCTTGGTGCCCATCAAAACCAAAAGACCTCGTAATCATGATGCCTCTTAGCCCACTTGGTGCATTGGTCCCCTTGCTTCACTGGGATAAATTTTTGGGTCACATGCTATCCTCTCTCAGACACCGAGAAGAGAATTACCCCATTTCTGCTCCCAGTGCACTTTCTTTTCACACAATGCCCATCCCAGCCGGATTCTTCAGTGCTATTCAAATCTACGAGGCCCTGCCAAAGAGCCCAGGGACACAAAGTCTGTAGGATGAAAACTTGTGGTCCATCTCCCTATATAGTTCTCCATATAAGTTCCCCTGAGATAAGTCACCTCCCATATTTTAGAGAAAGGAATCGGGACAAATTACAATCCAGATTCTACAGGGAGAAGCAAGCTGCAAACCACCTTCTGTATTCCACATATTGCCTCTCAACCGTTTACACCCCCCCAAAAAAAATAGGGCACACTCTATAAGTGGCAGTGACTCACTACAACAGCGGAAGACATTGAAAATCACATATCTATAAGAAAGAACCCTGCATATAAGAACTTAACCTTCACCAATATATGCCAGAGTCATCTGCATAGCAAAAATTCTCAAATTTGGGTAGCCCAAGTTTTTGGCAACAAGCACAGTAGACCAAGCAAGCAGACCCGAATAGGCTAAGCCCAAGAGAGTCTTCCCTACATGTCTTCATGTAACAAACACCACAGCACTGCACCTGGGCCCCCACAAGCTCTAGCTTCTCAATACATCAGAAAGGACAAGCCAGGTCCATTCGAGGTTTGGGTGTCTGAAGTCCTGTTGCAGTTGTCCCAGCTCAGGAAGCCAAGAAAATGGCATTTTGTTCTATTTCATCAGGTACCTCAAAGAGAGGCTATAAGTAACTCCCTCCCCATCAAAATGACCCAGCTTAGCCTTTTACTTCCTTCACAGAACCTCCCTACAAGACCTGCCAGGATACTATTTGCATCTTCTATTTCTCCAAACAGAACCTTTTTGAATGAGACCCTCAGGTTTCCTCCCATTTCTAGAAGACCTTCCTGGACATCTACATCCATTTGCCTATGCCTTCTGCAAAAGACTGGGCAGTTGGAGGGAACCAATCAAACCCAGATGGTGGGAGACAGCTGATGCCATCAACAAAAATGAGGAAGTTAACCTGGCCGGTGTGGCTCAGTGGTTGAGCATTGACTCATGCACCAAGAGGTTGCTGGTTTGATTCCCGGTCAGGGCACATGCCCAGGTTGTGGGCCAAACCCCCCAGTGGGGGGCATGCAGGAGACGGACAACCCATGTTCTCGCTCATCTATGTTTCTATCTTTCTCTCCCTCTCCCTTCCTCTCTCTAAAATCAATAAAGAAAAAAAAAAAAAAATGAGCCCTGGCCAGTTTGGCTCAGTGGTTGAGCGTCGGCCTGCGGACCAGAGTCCTGGGTTTGGTTCCTGCTAGGGGCACGTACCACAAAACACACACACACACACACACACACACAAACAAAAAACAAAACAGCAAAGTCTTTAAATACTCATTAAAACTTAAAAAAAAAAAAAAAAAGAGGAAGTTAGTCTTTACTTAGCGGGAACCGAACCCGGGTCTCTCCGGACCGCAGGCCGACGCTCTAACCGCTGAGCCAAACTGGCCAGGGCGAGGAAGTTAGTCTTTAGTTGGCTGGAAATTCGGGTCTGCGGCCATCCATGTCCCCTCGCTGAGTGCGGTCCGGACGTGGGCCGCTCACATGATGAAGTAGCATCGCCGAAGCTCCAGCTGTGGCAGTCAGGGTATTGAGTGCGAAGTCAGGCCACCTGCCCGAGTGGGCGGCGTGGGGAAAGCAAGAGCTCCATGTGAGTTTGAGACACCAGGCCAGAGAAAGGGGAAGGGAGAAGAAAGAAAGGCAGGAGAAGAAAGGGGACGTATAACCGAGGCTTGAAGAAGAGGACCTGAAAGAACGTAATTCTTCTCTCCCTCAGAGCCACTCACCAAATTTCACATGTGTGGCTGACGGAACGTCCCTGTGAAGAGGGGAGATTGGAGGGCTGGTGCTCACTCTCCCAATGTCACGTCAGGGTCTCAGGGCAGTCACCCAAGACACCTCCTTGTCCCAGCCTCTGAGGGCCCCATGACAGGAGACACATTTTTTCATCCTGAGTTCTCATTCCTCGGATTTTTATTAC